ATCGGAGGTCCAGAGCTCCACTGTCAAGACTTGTCCCTTCACTGCAACTGAAGTCATTCGTAAGACTTTACTATATAGGTGCTTTTGGGGACTTTACATGTAGATGACACAAGTTTAATATAATGCTTTCTATAGTGTGTTCGACTGACGGGAGGATGACCGTGGTGGCTGACTTGTCTCTGGCCATCCCAAGTGGAGGAGTTCCTGCTAGAACCAACCTCGTAGACGAATACTGTGGACCCAAAGAGGCAGACGACACCAAGGCTCTCTTCTCTTTTCCACTCAACGGCTGTGGATCCACAGTCAAGGTAGTGCTGCTTATTGTAAAACTGACACTGGCAATGTTGGACTTGAATCCTTCCTGTAACTTTCCCTACAGTAATTGAAAAGATTACTAATGTTGTATAAATGTGTCACCATTTGCTCTTTGCCTTCAGATTGACAGGCAAAATGTGACCTATCAAAATGAGATTTTCTTCAGCACGAAGTACCTTGATGTGAACGGAACAGTATCTTTCACTACTGAGAGGTATTGATGATTTGCCTCTTCCTGTAGCTACCAATCTAACACTGTACAGTATTTCAAGTTGTCCTCTTTTCTTGCAGGGTGAAAGTACAGTGCACATATTCTCTGGTGAGTCTCCATCGCCTCTTCTCTCTGTACAAGTTTGAGTCTGACAAAGTTGGCGTCGGTCGCATCATCCACACTGTGCCGCCCACAGCAGGTACAGAAGTTTGTTCAGCTGCTTGACATGATCAGTTCTCACTCATCGTATTGGATTTTAAGCACTGTCTATCTGCACTGTAGCTTGGAGTCCCACCATCAAGCCAACAACAGCACTTAAAACCACACCTGCTGCCAAAGGCCCAACTGGAGTACTTGCTGCATACCTGCCTGCTGCCAACCCACCAGCTCGCTACATTAAAGTTTCTAGGGTTAAACATTTTCTTAGTGGCGTCAGAAAAGGTAAAATTGATTTTAAAATTCACATTTAAGAGGTAAACTCACTTTGTTAAATGTTTGACGTCTCTTCACAGGAGGATCCTCCCAAACTAAAATAGATGCTGCCAAAATTGGAAGGACATCTAATTTTAAATGGAAAATATTGAATAAAGCTTTGTTTTTGTAAAGAGCTGTTTATTTCCTCTATAGGCTGGCCAAACACCCACTATACACAAATGGTAATATTGACCCAGGAAGGTGTTAAACACTAATGTGGAGACAATGGCTATAGATTTGGTAAAGGTGGTAAGTGAGAATGAAGCTTTTACTGCCCCAATATGTCAAAATCAATAGTTATCCCTTGTGCAGAAGTGTAAGTAACTTGATATGTCAGGTTACACTAGGTACAATACTGTAAATATTACAATAGTATTCTCCTACTCTACATTTGAGAGGGAATAATGTGCTTTTTTCACTACACTATTTAGTCATTACCCTGCAAAACTTGGTTTTATGACTTAACTACAGTGTAAAGTGGTTAAAATTGGCTTTACCTTTACCTGTTGCAACATTAAGTAAGTCAGTAATAAAACACAAAGTAGACCTTTATTACATTTATACTAAATGTCCTGTAGTGAGAGATTCCACTAGTTCTGTTTTTACTTCAACATGAGGCCTAATCAGTTTTAGGATGAACTCAGTTTAACTTGACATTCTGTGTGTATTCTATACACAGGCTGAAATGCACACTTCATGCACTTGTGGAGATGCAACAGGGAGAGAGATGGAGTGATGGGGCTGCCACATTAGCAGCGCCCCATGAGCAGTTTCTTGGGGTGAAACTGGCACCTCTCCAGCTACACTCCATATTGTGGTCTGTGGGACTAGAACCGGCAACCCTCCGGTTCCCAAGCAAAGTCCCTAGACACTGACCTACTGCCGCCCTAAATGTAAATGAATCTAACATCAATTAACAGAATTTTTTTTTTAATTATTTAACTTGTTCTAAAAACCAGTTCATGGTCCCAGCTTCTCATGTGATTTGCTTCTTTTCCTTTTTATTTTGATCATTTAAATTGATCATTAATCCTCTTGATGATTGGATTGTTGGTTGGACAAAACAAAGCAATGTAAAGATGACTTTGGGCTTGCTCACTTTTCTTTTTTCTTTTTTTTTTTTTGCAATTCAATAAGTGGATTAATAAGGTGACGAGAAATCCATAATGAAAATAATTGAGTTGCAATCCTAAATAGTTTAAAAAAACAGCTCCCTGTCAAACCGTCAACTCCTGCTTTTAAATATTAAACTCATTTAATATATAATATAGTCACAAGGGACTAACTTTTCTGCATTGGTTATTTTTGATTATACTTAAATAATTTTACTTAAACATTTTCATTGCAGTACCTGTAATGGAGTATTTTCAGTGTATTACAGGATCTTCCTTCAGCCTGAATGCAGGATGTAAGGAGGCCGTTTGAGTTGAAAGTTACCATATATTAAAACATGACTGATATTACTTCATAATATTCTAAATTATTTTTTTTTTTAAAGGAGAATCTTAGTTTCATAAACAATTATCAGTCAAATAAAGGTCTCCGAAGTCAACCAGCAGGGGGCGCTAGCTCTTTTGACACCCACATGTGAGCTGAAACAAAGTCAGACACCACTTCAGACTCTCTCCAGCAACACAGTTTAATAAAAAGTGAACAATGAGCTGCAGTGAAGCGCACTGTGTGGTGAGTTTCCACTATCAAAATGTCCTCTGGCGGTAAAAAGTTTGACCGAACCTGCTCGGTGTTTACCAGCTTCCACCTCCCTCTCATGTCTCTCCTCCAGCGGGGGTCCAGGCCCCCAACCCTGCCTCCTCTCTCCAGCAGGACCCTGGGCCACCCCTCTTTCCTGCCCCTGTACCTGACTGCGGGCTACACACACCCTCACCCGGACTGCCGCGACGTCCACCCCATCACCCCGGAGGAGTTCTTCTACTCGGACCCGACCATGAGGTGTGGGAGGAGGGTCCCCAACTCAGTGAGCGAGCTGAAGGTGAGTGTGCACAGGTTGCCATGGACACCCCATCACACAGTCAGTCGCATAGCAACCGTGTGATTTAGTCCCTGGATGACAGAATAAAGGCACTTTTATAAACTTTAGTGTTTTTAGAGCAATAGTTCCCAACTTAAATAGCTCTTTTTCTATTATTGACTAAACTGACCTTTTATTTATCCGAGGGAAATTCAATTCAATATGACGTTTTTACTTTATCATGCAGCCCTACTGATAAGGGAATTGTTAGAATGTGTTAATGCACAAATTCTGAATACTGGACATATGTTGAAAAGGCAATGGATGTTAAGAGTGTTGGAAAGATTAGGATTAAAACCATGACTGGATTTAAACTGCCCTCTGTTCAGTGAACGAGTGACTACAACCATTATTTTTAAAGTATGTGACGCATTCATTGCTCATTAAAATATTTATCAAAATTACCTCAGATTGTGAGAATAGTTTCTTCCCCACTGTTGCCCTCTGTGCGCTTTGGGGGTTGGTGGGGGGTTGTAGAGGGTAGAGCTTATGGAGGAGCTCAGACACACGAGGACATTTAATAAGATTGGCTCAGTGCTTTCAGACAGAGCTAAGACCCTAACCGGGGGGCTGGAAGGAAATTGAGACCTACAGCTAAGGAGGAGTCAGATTGTTTTGACAGTTAAGACTTAGCATCAGTCATATACCCTTTTTTATTTTAGGGAAAACTGTGATTGTTTTTTATCAACACACCAAAAACTCAACAATTAATTGGACCGCAGCACAGAAAAGGAAAACCCATAAAACAGAAAACAAAAAGGTGGGATGGTAAGAAAACACACAAAAAGTAATGTTTAGGGGAAAAAAATGTTTTTTTCATTAAATTAAATATTGCAAACTAGTGTTTGAGCTTGTAATGTCATTGTTTTGGTAATTTAGAAACTCACAGGTGTGTGAAGCTGCACAAGGCCAAACTGTTGACAAGTTTTTTATTAGTCTAAATCACATACTGGGGCTGTAACAGAGCCTCAATAGATTAAACTCACCAGATAATTTATGTATCTTCTCTTTGGTATAAATTATTCACAGAAAAACACCAGCAAAGCAGTTGTGTGGAGTTTACTGATGATACTCAGTGTTTATGCTGTTAAAAATTGATGCATTGTTGCCATTTGAACACACCAACATTTAAATTAGACTTTCCTGTTTTCTTTCCACCCTCATTTCTTTTTCCACCAGGTCTTCGATTGCTTCCAGCTCAACACTCCCTCACCCGTTATGTCTGCCTGCCCGGCCCCACCAACCCGTCCAGACCCATTCAGATCGGGACCCCACCCCACTAGGGATCTGGGCGACCTTACCTCCTTCAAAATAAATACCCTCCACCCTCCAGTGCAGCCAAGCCGGGTCGTCATCCAGCTTACCCAGGAGGAGGACCAGGCTATTACTAACCTCCTGAAACTACACCACCAGGAGCCTCTTCACTCCTCTTCAGGTCTGGAGGTTTACAAGCCCTTCTGTAGCGATGTGCAACATCTGAGCGAGGCCAGTTCGCAAGGTCAGGGAAGATGTTGGTCAGATACTGAGCTCGAGGCAGCCAACACCCTCTTGAGTGGCTTTAGCCTGATGGAGGGGGACAGAATCTGGAGCCAAAACCACAACAAATCAAAAGTAACACAACCTGATCCTCTGCCATACCAGCGTCAAAGATCTGAGACTCCGCCTGGAGCAATAACTGCTGGTTGCACTCAACAGAACATCAGCTTTAGTTGTGTCAGAGAATGTGGAGAACCAGGCTGGGAGGATTTCGTGTTTCTGGAGGGGAGGAATGCAGATAATGTTCACGTGCAAGTTTGTCAGGAATACTTGGCATCGCCTTTACCCCCGAGGCTGTCTTCAGACCGAAAGCCAAAGAGCAGCTCGAGTGTCTCTGGAGATTTCTCAGAGGTGAAGGAATGGATGCTGTCGGACTCTGAGGGAGATGCTGTGCATGTACTCCTGAACCTGCGAGACATGGGAGTGATGGATATTGTCTAGTGATTGTCTTAAATCTGAGGGTCTTTTTGTCCCTGGGTATGTTTTTAAAGGACCAGTGTGTAGACTGTAAATGTTTGAATACAGCTCATCTTGATGAAAGGGCCAATCTAGAGCCAGTGTTTGGTTTGTTCTCCACTACTGTGGTGGTTCAACATGGAGGCTCATTCCAAGCTATATATATTAATATTATGTTCCTGCCAATAGATCCTCTTAAATGTTACACACTGGACCTTTACTACCTCTTTCTTATTATGGAAACAACTAGTTGAGAGTTCTTTGCACTGTTTTGAATTTTGATC